AAGAGGAACTCTAGAGATGGTGACATGATCAAGTCCATGAATCTCCTCCTCCGAAACATCGTCGTCCCACTGAAGAGCATCATCTTCCTCTTCGGTCTCACACATGTGCATCGGAAAATACGTTTGGGCACCAACCATAAGATGGGAGTTGTCAGCTTTTGACTCGATAGAGTCGAGACGTGCTGTCAGATTTTCCATTTGAGCGCTCAATCGAGCACACTCGAGCTCAATCTCCCCTTCCCGGTTTGCTTGGGCCATCATGCGATCGAGGATGAGATCAAGTTTGGCGTTGAATCCCGAAGAGTTGTCCTCGAGCTCATAGAAAGGTACGGGCTGTGGACGTGGGTCCACAACCATGGACTCTATAGAGTCGATACGCCTTGCTAGACTCTCCAATTGCTCGCTCAAACGGGCACATCCGAGCTCAATCTTCTCCTCTTGTTTTGCTTGGGCCATCAATCGATCTAAGATGAGATCGAGTTTGGCATTGTATGCGGCCTCTTCTTCTCGAGCTGATTTGGACTCTATGAAATCAAGAATCTGGTCGAGCTTCTCGTTAAACTTGTGGGACTCATAAGTTTGCTCAACCGAAAAATGGTGCCAGCACTGCTCGGAAGAGTACGGATAAGATTGGGTGTGGTACTCAGCGGGATAGCTCGGCTCATTGCTCCAAGAGGGGTAGTGCAGGGAGGAGTACACGTGATTAAAGTTCATATCTCCTGCACACCAAAACAGAACAACCACACGTAGCCACGAAAAGAGAGAAACAAAGAAAACAAAAACAAAACAAAGAAAAAGAAACAAAGATGCACAAAAGAAAGAACGAAAACACGATAATTACAAACTAAAGAGAAACACGAAAAATAAAATCAATACCAAAATAAATATCCTACTTGCCTTCCCCGGCAACGGCGCCAAATTTGTTGTGTACAAATTGTTATATTTTACCGAGTACCGAATCAAAGATTCGTTTCCCGGGTCGATCTCTCGAGGAAGGCGGTTCGGAATTTAGCTTTGGTAATGATAACACATAAAAAGAAAACAAAATCCTAAACACTCTAATCAGAAAAGGGGTTTGAATAATTACTGTCTAAAAAACAATAAAGAGCAATAATCTACCTAAAAATGTGGATGGAACAAAGATGGAGAAACTAGGGAATCGGGGATAATTAATTCAAGTTCTAGCAAAGCCGGGCAATTAATCGTTCGGTTCGAGATTGACACTCTCGCTTAAACATCTAGAGGTTCGCTCCCAATAACTCTTCGTAACAAGGGATTGAACATAGACCAACAAACTCGAGCATACAACACAAGCCAATTATCCCAATCCCAATAACTTTTCGTAACAAGGGACGGGACATCGACAAACACGTATTTCAATCTCAACCCATAGATTACTCAGTTACGAAATAATCTATCTCATGCAAGCCTAGGTCTACGACTTCTCCCCTTTCGGTTCTGAAAGTCGCTAATTAACTAGAAGGTGATTAATCAACTAATCATATAGAACTGAAAAACCCTAACTCAACAAATTAACATTCAATTGTTTCCAATCGCAAGATCAAAGTGTCACTCTTCGATTATATCAATCAATCAAGCAAGATTACATCAATTCCTAATCAGATTAACTCACATAAGCATTAACAATTCAAGCCCGACAAATACACATGAAACATGAACGATCATCCCCTATCCCTAACAATAAGATTTAGCTAAGTAACATGAATTCAACACAAGAAAGCATTTCACCCCAAATAATCATTCTCATGAATTAAACGTGATGAAAAATACTTACAATCAATCCAATCCGAAAGTTGAATCCAAAATACAAGCTTAATCCCTAAAATGGAAAAGAAAGAAAAATGGAGAAGAAAGATGGAGAAGAGGAGAAGAGAAGAAGAAGAAGAAGGAAAATGAAGGGGGGAGGCGATTTTCGGACCTAGGGTTCCTCCCCCTTCAAGTTGGAAGTGAAAGAATGGAGAAGAAAACGAATTTTTGGGGTTTTTAAATCATTCTCGGACTTGCAGGGGGCCTTAGCGCCGCTAAGGGGGTTAGCGCCGCTAAGGTGCCTTAGCCGTTCGAGCCAGTAACGTGTAGCGCCGCTATCCTGTGTGCCTTAGCGCCGCTAAGGTGCCTTAGCGGCGCTAAGGTTCTGGGCAGCCTGCTGGACTTTGCTTTTCGGGCTCGTTTGGGCTCGTTTGAACTCGGAATTGAGTTCCGTTTTTTCCTACGCGTAGCTAACGAACCCCTCTATCTAACTATGTAATCTCAGCACATATTTTCCTGAAAACTTGTCCTCCCAAAGCTTCCGACCTGCACACAAAAAATGAAAGAAAAGACGAAGAAAACCGGAAAAACACAGAAATACTCACAAAGATGCGAAACACGAAATAAACGACAAAACGACTCTAAAACCACACAAGTGACTCAAAATGGGGGAAAAAGAACGAGAAAATAGACACGAAAAATGTAACAAAAATGGGACAAACACTAGTGGTGGTTCATCATCACAACGGCCATTAGGTATTAAAAAATCAAAATTCAAGAGAAAACAGGGAGAAGACGTATCTGCAGTTATAAAAACAATGAAAGAGGAAAATGAAAAATTTAGAGAGATGATGAGAAGTTCAGCAATGAAGAGAGATCATGACAATGAGATGATAAGAAAAAAAATTGAAATCCAAAAGCAAAAAAATGAATTAAGAAAACAACTTGTTGAGACTACCACATGGACAGAGGAAAATAAAATTTTAATGATGGATTTGGAGTCAATACAAGATAGCCGTAGTCGTGAATATTTTAAAAATGAGCAAGAACGAATTCTGAGAAAAAGAGAAGGATCACAGCCATCACAAGCCAGCAACACTTTTGGTTCTTTCAGTGAGTTTTTTCAAGATCTTGGCGGGTCTGGAAGTGGTTTGGGAGACTACTAGAATTATTCGTGTGTTCCTTTGATTTTTATGTCATCTTTAATCATGTTGTTTTTATTTGTGTGTTAAGGTCATTTTTAATCATATTGTTTTTATTTGTTTGTTTAGTCATTTTTAATCATGTTGTTTTTATTTATGTTCTATGATTTATGTGTGTTGTAACTTTAATTTTAATGAAATAAACTTGTTTGAGTGTGTTAAAATTTTATTCATATGGTATCATTTTAATATTAAAAAATTACAAAATAAAATTACAATACATTAATAAATAAAAAACACAAAATTATTTAGCATAAAAAATACATTACACAAATTATTTAGCATAAAAAATACATTTACTAATACACATTATACAAAAATTTACTAATAATAATACACAAAAAAACAAAAAAAAAACAAAAAAAAAAAAATATAATTGTAGAGTCGAGGAACAGTGTTGCGCCACATCTGGCGCAATACTGTTCCCGACTCTTATCTGGCGTAAAGTTTCAGCGACGCACTGGAGCAGAAACCATCGCTACTCCAGCGCAAAACACCATATCTGGCGCAGCGCTGGAGTGACTCTTACAACAGGCATGTCTATATCTATATTTATATATATACAAAGAAGAGTAGCACATTTAATAAAATATTTCACTTTCCCTTTAATCGGCCTGGCCTGTCTTTGATATGATCTGATCTAGCAGAAATTATGCCAATTTATTATATTATCTAGCAGAAATCAAGATATTTTATTTTTCATTCTTAAATTTAAAGTTCATATTTGTTGTATTAATGTAGAAAATTAATATTATAATTTTTATCAATTCCCTTATGTTATAAATACGTAAAAAAAGATTTATACAATAAGTTAAATTCCAAAATTACAAAAAAAAATAAAAAAAAAAATATTTAGTA